AGGCTCCGGTGATCATTCTGCCTCAGCCTTCCAAGTAGCTGGAACTACAGGTGCGCGATACCATACCCGGCTCATTTTTGATTTATTGTAGAGATGAGGTCTCGCCAAGTTGCCCAGGCAGGTCTCGAACCCGCAGGCTTAGGCAATCAACTCACCTCAGCCTCCCAGAGGCGTGGGATTACAGGCTGAGCCACCAAGCCCGGCTTCATTTTTTTTTTTAATTGGAGTCTCACTCTAGTCTCCCAGGCTGGAGTGCAGTGGCACACTCACAGCCACCGTAGCCTCAACCTGCTGGGCTTAGGTGATTCTTCCACCTCAGCCTTCCAAGTAGCTGGAACTAGAGATACATGCCATCGTGCCTGGTTAGTTTTTGTGATTTATTGTAGAGATGAGATCTCACCAAGTTGCCCGGTCTGGTCTCGAACCCCCCGGACTCAGGTAATCCTCTCACCTCAGCCTTCCAAAGTGCTGGGATTACGGGCTCAGCCACTGCACCTGGCTGGCATTTTTAAAAAATAATATAAGTCTGCTTTTAAAAATGGTAGGGAGTGAACTTACTCTGTGTCCAAATTTGAAAGTTGCTTTTTAACTTGAACCTATGTTTATTTGAATTGTGAGGTAGATTTTGACAGTGGAAAATTTTTACATTTAATACCTTAGGTTGTGACTATCAAAAGGAAACAGGATCATGGCAGCAGATGACGACACTGGTGATGGGACAAGTTTATTTGATGTCTTTTCTGGTAAGAGCTACTTTTAATTGTCTTTCTAAATTTGCTTTTAAAAGTACAAATTCTTTTTTTTTTTTTGAGTTGGCGTCTCCATCTGTCGCCCAGGCTGGAGTGAAGTAACCACTCCCGGCTACTGCAGCCTCGACCTGCTGGGCTCCGATGATCCTTCTGCCTCAGCCTTCCAAGTAGCTGGAACTACAGGCGTGCGCTACCACGCACGGCTGATTTTTTGATTTATTGTAGAGATGAGGTCTCGCCAAGTTGCCCAGGCGAATCTCGAACCCACGGGCTCAGGCAATCCACTCGCCTCAGCCTCCTAAGGCGCGGGATTACAGGCTGAGCCACTGAGCCCGGTTACACCCAGCTAACTTTTTTTTTTTTTTTTTTTTTTAATTGTAGAGATGAGGTTTTGCCTTGTTGCTCAGGATGGTCTCGAACCCCTAAACTCAGGCAGTCCTCTCACCTTCACCTCCCAAAGTGCTGGGATTACTGGCTTGAGCCACTGCACCAGGCCTTGATTATAATTGTGTTGACTTATTAAATTTTTTTTTCCTTTGGAATAAGAGTCTCACTCTGTCACCCAGGCTGGAGTGCAGTGGCATGCTCACGGTCATCACAGCCTCGAACGGCTGGGCACAGGTGATCCTTCTGCCTTAGCTTTCCAAGTAGCTGGAACCATAGGTGCTTACCAGGCTGGTCTTGAACCCCTGGACTCAGGCAGTCCTCTCACCTCTGCTTCCCAAAATGCTGGTATTACAGGCATGAGCCCCCGTGCCCAGCTGACCTATTACATTTTATGAGATTTTATGGCCATATATTTATTGACCAGAATTATGATTAGTATGCTATAGAGTGAAAATGGCAGTTACAAAACTTGTCTAGAAAGCTGGATGCGGTAGCTCACAATTGTAAACCCAGCACTTTGGGAGGCAGAGGCAAGAGGATTGCTTGAGCCTATGGGTTCGAGAGACCTTGTCTCTGTGATAAATAAAAAAATTATTCGATTATGGTGCATGCCTTTAGTTCTAGCTACTTGGAAGACTGAGGTGAAAGGATTGCCTGAGCCCAGCAGGTTGAGGCTGTGGTGGCCATGAGTGTGACTGGGTGCTAATGGCCTGGGTGATAGTGAGGCTTTGACTAAAAAAAAAACATGTTTAGTAGAGTTCCATTTTTTGCTTAAAATAATGTTTTTAGGCCGAGCTCGGTGACTCAACCTGTAATCCCAGCACTTTGGGAGGCCAAGGTGAGTGGATTGCCTGAGCCTGCAGGTTTGAGACCCGCCTGGGCAACTTGGCGAGACCTCATCTCTACAATAAATAAAAAAAATTATCCGGGTGTGGTAGCGCGCACCTGTAGTTCCAGCTACTTGGAAGGCTGAGGCGGAAGGATTGCCGGAACCCAGCA